GACACTCTATCACTGGAACAACTCCAGCTTAACCCACTATTTTGCCTGCTGGGCATTTAGGGACTACCAGTCCTGGTTACGGTTTATTCACACAGTAGTACGCTGTCTAAAGGATTGGTGTCTAGGGGTCCTAGGTCACAGGATACCCGGAGGATTTACAGATATTTAGGGGACTCTGCCAAACTCAGAGGTCCCCATTACTCATTTAATACGAAACCCAGGATTGGCCTGCAATGTCTGTGCCCCATTGATTGGCCTGCTATGTCTGTGCTCCATTGATTGGCCTGCTATGTCTATGCCCATTTGATTGGCCAGCTCTGTGCCCTTCTGTCTGGCCTGCTCTAACTGTGCCCATCATTGACCTGATCTATCTGTGCACGAACCCCCTTTTGACCGCAAGCTTGGGGGAATATCACTGAGGAAAGCTCAGTACCCACTATTGCCACGGAGATAGGTGGGTGTCTGGACAGGGACTACTGCCATATTATCCAAGAGGACACCAGGATACGGGCACCTAACTATAATTGAAAGGGTGAAGGCCCTACACCTCATGCCCTGAAGGGCAAAGTTTTTATGAGGATTGCCGGGCACGCAACCACGGATTATACCCAACGGCGACACATCTCCAAGGGGAATTTCGCACAAGCAGGGACTAGTGATGTACCGAACGGTTCGCCGGCGAACGGTTCCTGGCGAACATAGCATGTTCGCGTTCGCCACGGCGGGCGAACATATGCGCGGTTCGACCCGCCCCCTATTCGTCATCATTGAGTAAACTTTGACCCTGTACCTCACAGTCAGCAGACACATTCCAGCCAATTAGCAGCACAGCCTCCCTAGCAGACCCTCCCACCTACTGGACAGCATCCATTTTAGATTCATTCTCAAGCTGCATGCTTAGTAAGAGGAGGGAAAGTGTAGCCGCTGTTCATAAGATAGGGAAAAGCATAGCTAGGTTAGGGATAAGGGTATGCTTTTTTTGGATTTTTTTTTTCTATCTAATGTAAATGCACTTAGTTGTCTGCCACTGCTGCCAGCTTCTGTGTCAGGCTCACAGTGCCCATTTCCCCAGTCAGTGCCACCAATTACATCTGGTGTCACAATAGCTTGGATTTAAAAACAAAAAACTTTTTTCACTGTTATAGATTGAATAGCAGTCAGTTATCTGCCACTGCTGCCAGCTTCTGTGTCAGGCTCACAGTGCATACTGTGCCCATTTCCCCAGTCAGTGCCACCAATTACACCTGGTGTCACAATAGCTT